GAGGGAAAGGAAAGGGAAGGATGCAAAGAAAAAGACGGAGGGAAAGAATCTTGGGGCGGCGAAGTATTCGCGAAGGCACCATAGACCGGGAACGACGCGACGCCATCTGTCCCGACGCACGCCACGTGTCTGCACCGAGCAAAATTCGTTCGGCCGAGATAGAAAATTTGTCCACGCACGGGGAACACGTACACTTGAACTATTATCGAACCGCGCGCGGGGGCCGGCGGTCTATCGAACTTATTCGGGAGACAACTCCACGCCTCAGCAACGGTCTCGCCGTCTTCCCCAGGTAATTTTTATATTTTATTCCATCGTCGGTTTTCGCATTCACTGTGACGAGAATTCTGGGCATTTCGTATTCGTACATCATCTGTAATATTTTATGGAATAATATGTATTAAAAAGTTAATTATTCTGTTATGAAAGAGAGAAATGATATCAGGATAAATTGTTAACGAATCGATACCGCAGTTGGTGTGTTATTCTGTTGTGTATGGTGTCCGTGTGCATCTGTTTACTTTTATTTACGTATTTTATGAGAATAATTCGTTTAACAGGTGAAGTTTATTTCACCAATAAAAGTTAAATTGGTTTATGTAGATAAATGTAATAATTGTGTAAAGTTTATAGTACGTTACTAGTGTTTTTTATTGAATTCTTCTTAATGAGCGAATGAAAGTAGTTCGTTTAATTGTGTAATTGGTTTTCATATGTGACCGTGATAGTCAACGCGTTGATGGTATCCACTTGAGAGTGAAATTATCGTAAGTTGCTCTCTAGATTATTTGTTACGTATGGAGAATACGATACGAGAATACAAGAAATATTCAGTCTCAATGTAGTAGCAGCTTGCAGAAAATGCTGTTGAAAGTAATTCGGACTAGTTTGATTTTTAAATGAATACGTAGCTTAACGGTAAAATCATCTAACGATTGGAGTGACTTATTTGTAATTTTTATAAAAATTGGAGAAATATGTTTCTTGAAATTTGAAGCAAATATAATTTATAATTTTTCAGAGAAGCATCTTCATAATTTCAATGATTTTAGTATAAATTTTCTTGTCTTGTTTACTAGATCTAATAACCAAAAATTGCTACTTGATCATTGCACACGTTAAATTCATAAGATTTCATTATTCTTAGTAATTTTAGTTCACTTTCGCTGCAAACGATCTCGTGAGCTTATTTTTCACATACGTTTCATTCATTTCATTACAACTTTCTCTTACTTAGCTCGCACCGCCTAACAAATTTTTTCTGTCTCATTAAAATCGTTGATGAAAGTAGGAGTATGAAATTGGAGCGACTCATCTTTGCGCATCTGTGGCATCTGAACGATATTTTCATTTGCTCATCAGCAAAGCAAATTTCCCCGTATTCCAAGTACACAAAATAACACACGAAAATAGAAAATTCGCGTGAAGGTCGGTGGTCTAATCATAAAATATATTAATAGATTTCTGGAGGCGATTCTTGTATCTATTCATTCTAATTGAGAACGACGATAAATGTTGTTGCGGGACCCAGTGATGAAAATAAGTGTCAATGGAGGCGAAACGAGCACGAAACATTATCGGGATGTATTTTTCCTTTCTTTCACAGTTTTCTCGGCTGTGCTTTGATAAGGCGCGCACACTCTTGCGTAACCCGATAGAGAATGATCGACAGCCAGGGGTCATCGTTGCCGATCCTCCCAGCGAATCTTTGCAGTCGAGCGAATTCTGAATTAATTAAATGCCACTTAACGCCTTTCTTCCGGCAAAGTATCTACAGAACGTGGATTATTAATCGTCTTGTTCAGCTGGGCTGACTTGGCTCGCCTAAGCCTCTTCCACGAGCTTCTTTCCCCCTTTGTTACGCCGCGAATGCTTCGTTCGCGGTTTGGAAATCATTCTTAACGTGCTTGCTCGAGGAAATATCGATCAAATTGCCTCAGCAACTTCGAAATAGATTTTGAAAACTTTGTTTGTTTATCACTTTCTGTTATTGTTTCTGTTATTCACTGTTTATTACTGTTACCATCTCACCTAGGCATGTATTTATTTACATTTATTCTTCAAAACTTCGGTACTCGGTGGTTTTTCATTTGGCCAAAACCTTGGTAAGCAATTTCTTTAAATTATAGTCTCGTCTTAATAAAATAGATACAGTTGCTGTTACTACAAGTGTTATTCAAAGTTACAACAGCAAATGAATATTATAATTTCCTCGATTTTTCGAGTTTCTGTATTACAAATTTTTATATTCGACAATTCTATATTGCTGTATACTTCTCAAATGTTAATGTATCGAAATATGTAAAAGGAAATCGATGTCTTGATATTTTTAAACGATCCAACCCCGTTCGATTTGTTCCATTTATCGCGAATATGTATCGTTGAATGAAGCCAAAATAGAACGTTTCGCGGTCTCAGGAAAAATTACTACCCCCTCCTAGGAACGTTCCGCGGCCTTTCACGCGGCGAACAAAGAAGTCCGGGGGTGGCGAATGTGTCTCCATTCTTTGTGGCGTCCTCTATTCACCCCGCTAATAATTCGCCGGGAACGAAAGAGGAATTTTCGCCGCGGGAATATCGAAAAGTTTTTCTTCGCGGCTTTCACCGGACGCGAAGAAAAAGCCAGACTATTCGCGTCGCTCGTGATTTCCGCCTCTCCTACCGAACATCCTGCTACTTAAACGTGTTGGAGAACATCGAGTATATTTAGTACCATTCGACCGATAACTTGGACGCTTTATTCGGGCTTTCTGTCGAGATTTTCGTGTGTTGAGAAATATGCAATTACTTCTTTCCTGTGCGAAAGGAGTGCTACGAGAATATTCATAATTTTGTAATGTTATAGTTTTATTAAAAAAAATTGAAAATATTAAACAATTGTCTTAAAGAAACGTTGAGTTTCGATGACAATGGAAATATTTTAAAATTTATTTAAAACCTATCGGGTAATGGACTCTCCGACCTTCATCCACAACGTTACTTTAAAACTGAAGAAACTAGACCGTCGGTTTTTAAAGCGTTCATACTGTAAATACTCTACTTTTTGTTTGGAAAACTCTACCGTTCTGAATAACATAACCGCTGCCTAATAAAATATGGAAATAATTAACCTAGATAGAAGCGGATGCGGTTACCAACGGCGGCTGTATTGGTTATTCCGCAACGTTCCAAATTTAAAAACTTAATATGGCACAAAACAAAATCAATACACAATTTATAAGCGAAATTTCCGGCGGAATAGAATGCATGAAAGGCTTCGAAATACGTGAAACAAATTCTTGCTAAAAACGTGCAACACAATTGACACTAAAACTACCATATTCGTCAACATGAGTTTTACTTTCCTTGCTTAACTCACTAACCGCGGGTTAGTTTTATTTATTATGATGCATCCTAATAATTAGATAAAAACTGACTAACTAACGAGACTAATAAATAACGGGAGTGATGGTAACCAACAACAGCCTAATAAAATACTCAAGAGATGTTAAAACTCGGTTAAGTTGGGAATATTTTACAAAATATTTAGAACGCCAATTTCACGTTACCCCCGGTTGGAAGATTAACAATTATTGATACTTTAAACGTGTCCAGTATTAGAAACAGCCCTAAAAATAAATAGTTTCGCGCTACAACAAATATCTGAAGAAATCGGGACAAGTAATACTTCAATCTTCATAAGAATTACACGTCAACCCTAACAAGTGCTCGGTAGTTCTTGCGTTAATACTAAACATACCGCGACCGATTAGAT